TTTTTTTTTTTGTGCTGGTTTTGCCTTCTGCATTTATGGCAGAATACAGGATTGACGATGTTCTGCGTGGACAGATTTGAGAGAGAACGAGAAAAACAAAATAAGCTGCTTGGTCGCGCATTTCTTACCTAACCAAATAGTGGTTGATCTGTACGGATGGTACAGCATATAGCGTTAATATTTCACTTTCAATACTTTGCCCAAATTTGGTAGTTCATGATGTCAACATGAACTGAATTTCACTAAAAATAAACTCCTGAAACCCGACATTTTACTTCAGCTTTTACAAATTTTCAGGAGTTGCATAAGCGTTCATTTGGAGTGCCAACAATTGTTATTTTTACTTGGCAAAATAAAAAATTATATATATTTTTCCCCCTATTTCGCAAACCAAATGCAGTCTACGACAGTGTTTTTATAAATATACTTTTGCTGAAAATGATAAATGTTTTTATTTTTATTGATTTGTAAAAAATGTGTACTGTATTTGCTTTATTGGTAGCGCACATGAATAACAGGTCATATTTTAATTTTAATGTACATTTTTTTGGGACCAAATATTGTAAATTGAAAAAATAAATGTTCCCTGGATTTCATTTTCAGTGATCCCTTCAGCAAAATTAAATTCCAATATTGTACCCACTTTGCTATATTTTGACATTTATACTACTTAATTTAAGGTAGCAATGGGGGAAAAAAACGAGTTAAAAATTGATCCGTGGTTCAGAAAGCTTTGATATTGACCATTGAGACAAAAATAAATCATTGCTTTGAAATTTGGTTTCGATGGTGTTGATTTCTGAAACATTGACCATATTTCAAACTTTTATTGAACAAAACTGTATATATTGATAAGTCTTAAAATGAACAGAAATTATATTTTGGTGTTTTGGGATATTGTAAGATAATGAATATCAAAGAAACAATTCAAATTGCCGATATTAATTTTAATTTTTTGTAAATATTTTACTTCACAAGTTTCAATATTCTTTTTACCTTGTCTATATCATCTTAGATGAAGGTCAAGGTATATGAGGAGAAAATGTCTTTATTTACTGTCTTAAAAATTTTTCTTTGTTTTCTTATGGTCAGGATAACTCAAACAATTTTTATCCAATGTCTTTCAAATTTTGATATAATTATATTAACCAGTTAGAGATCTTGGCCAAGTTTTATTTTGAAACGTGTTCTATTCATATTTTTTTAAGATGTTTGTTAAATTTAACCTGAAAATTGTCATTTTCTTGTGGTTACAATAGCTCTAAAAATTTTTATCTGATCATTTTCAAATTTTATCAATCGCTATGAAATGTTATCAGAGTTCAATCTTGTTGTAAATAGCAAGTGTATTTTTTACTCATGTGTGCAAAGCACACAATTGGAGCCTTTGGAATTACCCTGTCTGTGTCTGTGTGTGTGTGTGTATGCATGTCTGTTCCACAGATATCTCAAGAACCACAGGTTAGGTACATGCATGATGGTGCCTAGGGACAATGCATAGACCTGAATAGTGAAATCTGTACATCTTAATTACCTAATTTGCATAATATGAATAATCGTCATATTTCATTGAAATTTGGTACATAGATGTCTGGAGGGGATTAGTTACATGTTGAAAACCATGCTGATCTATTTATTATTACGGTAACCAATTTCTGATATTTCTAAAAATCAGATTTATAATTTAACTTGTGGTAGAGGTGCTCTGGAATAAACCAGACTGCAAAACACAGATGTACAATCAAATTCATTTTCTGTGAGTGATATAAAAATGCAAAATGATAATGAGAACCAGATGATAGTAATATGCTCTCCCAAGATTTGTCAATTAGATAGTGTAGTGTAATACCCTGTTGGTAATAGAAAATCAATATAAATCAAAAAAGTGACAAGTGCAGTGTTCTCCTGCCTTTTTTAGCTCCGCTGTCGAGCGGAGCTTATCATATGAGTGATTGTTCGTCGTCGTCTGTGTCAATGTTTTATTTTTTCGACTTCTTCTCGAAAACTACAAGCCTGAATGCTTTGATATTTGGTGTATATGTACCTT